AACAGCCAGCTCCATTGTCCGCCGTGCGCGCTCGGTGTTCGTATGCAATGCGCGCGCTAATACCAGCAACCCGCACAACTGAGCCAACTGTGGCACTTATTAGAGGATGTAATCATTTAAAGGGGATGACAAGACATCGATGCGACTTCGCTTGACACGCGTGCGACCAATCAAAGCGCCCCGTTTGTATCAATCATCACCGCTGCAGTTTTCACACGAGAACAAGCTCGCAGTTACCTGTTGTAACGATCTCGTCTGACAACAATCGCTCGAGCTGATTTTTTTCCCTTCAAAATCAAAAAACACACACAAGACGCCTGGATGTGCTTGGTAACCCGCTCCTCAGAAGACGTGACTCAAAGTTACACATCAAAGGTGTTGCAGAGCGGCGAAAACAAACCCAGCTATTTTATTATCAGCACTTAAACGGAGGTGTTGCTCTCTATTAGCTGCACGTTTTGTGTAATCAGGGTGGGAAATGCATGATAACAATAAGGAGAAAAAAAAGGCGCCAAAGGGAGATAAATAGTGGTTGTGAGGTTATTTGTCTTTATACCTCGGCAGCTAAAGAACCAGGTTAGGTTTCGAATGTGAAAAAAGGCTGTGAAGCGTAGAAACCTTACCTTAATTTACCTCTAATGCAAGCTTGATAGAGGTATCTGATTTTTATCGCCAAACTCTTTACTAAAGTATTCAAGTCTTGCACGTATAAATATGTACCCAGGCGATGAAATAATATATAAATAAAAAGCTAATTCACACTTTGCTCTGTGCATTTCAAATGGATGCATTTTCTCCTCAGGAAGCACTTTCTATGTATAATTTATACATTTACAATTAATATTCCATCGCAGTTGCGCACACTTTCATCCATGCAGCTATTTTGCAAGATAAATAACATATTAATTCCCTTTTGCATTTAAAAGTGATTTTGACCCAACATCGATGATCGTCTGTGCAACTCTCACGACTTGTGACTCACAATCTCTGTTTCACATAATCAGGCGGGCCCAGCGGGCTGATCGTTATCTCATGTTTATAATGGGTATCGGCCCAAACCAATCACCGGCTGGATTCATGACGTTTGTGCAGAAATGTCATAATGTCATTACCAATATGTGCGAGAGAATATTAGCTTTTATTGCTTTAAGTAAAGACGGAACAATGAGCTGATGAGTTGATGTGCGGAAAGCTGTGGTTTATGTAACAATGCTTTTCTCTGTTCTGCATCAGTGAAAGCTGGATGAACCGCATCTGGGGTTCTAAGACAAAACAAGAAGGTTTGTGGAACTGATGGACACTTTTTCATGAGAATAAATGGCCCATGAAGATTATCTGTGAGACTAATAAATAGCATACATATTATCTTGCATTCCCCCTGTTCCTTGGCAGTGCCGTTCAAACATATCTTTAAACTACAACATGCTACATCCCTCCAGCAAAACATTCTAAACTAGTCCTGCCGAAAACTACATTTTTACACCAACTGCAGTCGAGCCAAATGCACAATTACAGCCCAGTTTCGACTGTGTGGACTGCACATGAACTGTGAGGGTGAGCTTTTTGCGGAGGATGATAAAACAACATCTAAACAGCCGAATGCTGACAGGTTCCCAGCCAGCCAGAATGGCTTGTGCTTGTTTAGGTGGAGCTGACGAAACCTGCACATCAGTCATCCTGTCACAGAGAGACGCCCTGGGTTAAGTTCAACTCCTGAGCAGAGATAGAGGGAGACGCAGAGAGGGGGGAGACGGGAAGAGAGATAAAGGCAGAGCGAGGATGAACACAAACAAGCGAGAACTAATAGGAACATGATCGAGCTCACTGTCCTGACCTGCAGAAATATAATGCTGCCAAACAGGCTCCTGAACGCACAGCGTTTCCCCGGTGGGTCTGACTTGTCAGAGCGCGGCTCAGGGAACAGATGCAGGTGGTGCAGACACCAGAGAAGGTCACACACTGCTCTATTATACTCAGTACAATTTGGCTAAGGACTATGTTTAGGTTTAACAGCTGTCAGCGGCACTTCGCATGTCACGATTTTAAGCTTTTCCTCCAAACACTGCGAAACATGTCTCACCATTCGTTGTATACTTAAAGCATTAGGATGACACTCTAATCCAGGACAAGTCCTAATGGGTGCACTGGGAGGCCTTCAGTGCCTTGCTTAAGGCTGAGTGTTGAAGCTAATGCAGGAATCAAACCTGTGACCTTGCACTTCGCTCGTCAAACGGCCTCTGCGTCGTGACTTCTATCATCTATCACGGCTGTTTTCAAAGGCTGGGAATGAGCCCAAAGAGTTGCAGGAAGATAAAATGTCTCTCCCACTTTTCTCCGCAAAGTCTTAAAGTAATGAGACTGCATGATGTGTTGTGATCCCAAAGCTCCTCCAAGACTGCTTTAATTAAATACTGTAAGCTAGCTGCATGCAGTAGAAGAGCAACCTATTTTTCCATATTAATCTGCACAAATGGCTGCATCAGGTTTGCAGCGAGAGAGAGAGAGAGAGTGCCTTGTTTTTCTGAAAATGGAGGCACAGAGAATATTAAAACAACGGTTTGTGCTTTACAAACACAGGTCCCTGCTTTTGTCTCTCTGAATTCCACTTCCTAGAAATACAAGTTCCCGAGCTGCTGCTGACAGAATTAGCAGAACATCAGCCCCGGTTCCCACTTTGTCAAACTGTCTCTCTCTTCCATTTACTCTACCTCCTCCGATAAGCGAGTCCAATTCTGCTGATGTATCCCTGTCTGCAGTCAAACTCACCGCCTCAACAGCGCGCTTTCAATCACCCCGCCGGCTTTGGGCCGCCGCAGTAGATCATCTCTCCACATCGCGGGGATCTGGGCCGCAAGATCTGCTAAACCATGCCTTCATGAAACATTTATCTTTATCTGCTTGACGGCTATCTACATGCAAAGACTGCTCACCCCTAAATTATTTCTCTACCTCATTCTGAAATGTTCTCTCTTTTTAAGCATCCATCATCTCTAGTCCTTGCCAAAAAAGAAGACACGGATCCTAGCGGGCCAAGTGACATTTTATGTGTTAAGTTACTGCTCTTAAAAGTATGATAAGCTGATTTAAGCCACTTCCACAGAACCCACATTGGCTGTGACCTTCAGGCTGCTGGACACTTCCCTCTCCCCACTGGACGCCCCCATGCCCATGTGAAACATTAATTCATTACCGCACAGCAATAGCTCAGTCATGCTTGTTTAGCAACCAGTGAGGGAATTTTGCCGTGCGCCGCATTTATATTCTGCATGTTGTTTGCCCTTTAGCACCTTCGGCTTGCTCGCTGAGAAATCCACTTGTCTGTTGTGTTTGGTCATTAACAGCTGCGACCACCTGTGTGGCCATTTTGCTGCAGCGTTCGCCCGTGTTTTTGTGCGGCGGCCTTCTGCGAGAGACAACACCGCGACGTCTCTGCAGCGCTGCAGTTGGGAAGGCAGAAGGTTATTAACATTAAATAAGACCTTCTCTCGGACACTTGCTAAATTTGTGACGGGGTGCAGTGAGGAATTCTCGGCCAACTTCTTCCCCCCTCCTAAAAAAGAAAAAGGCGTCCAGATGGGGAAGACAAAGGATGCTACTGCTTTTGGTGACATGAGGATTCAGACAGGTTCTTGGCAAAGCTGCAGGCTGCTTGTTTTTTTTTGACTAAAACACACCAGAGTGTCTTCAACAATCAACGCTGGACCCAGTGATAAAAACATGTCTGCTGCTCAATCTCTCTGTTGTGCATTCGAGTGTGTTCGCGCTCGTGCATTCGCGTTTGTGTACAAATATGTATGCAGTCATGTGTAAAATTTGCATGTTGAGTGCATCTGTACGCGCGCACGTGTGTGTGTGTGCGTGCGCGCGCATCTGATGACAGCAGGCTGATTAAGCTGTTGCATAGTAATGAGCTATGGCTGTCTGTCTGGCAGCTGCTCTGACAACCTCTTTTCACAACTAGCCCTCCCACACACACACACACACACACACACACACACACACAGAGAAACAAACACAGGCGTTTAAGTGCACACACACACACACAAAAAAAAGCACCACAATTCTGAAAAAGCATCAAAGCTGACAACTGCACTGATCCATTGTTGGTGTAGTTGAATCAAAAAGTTGTGCTAGTGCAGGCAATTAGCGATGCATTAAAAGATGGAGATCTCACAACAACACACGCCGTTTCCTACAGGCGGCTGCACTTCCTCTCCGTCACCCTTTTTTCTTTTTTTTTTTTGTTGTGTTTTCCTCCTGATAATGACTACCAGTCAGGAATAACAGTCATTTCCTGCCTCAAATCACTGATGTCAGGGGAAATATCAGCCACAGGCACAGAGGACGCGCAGTGTGTTTTAGTGTGTGTGTGTGTGTGTGTGCACCTTCTTGCTGTGTATTTGTATGCTTGAGTACCTGTATTCGAGGTCATGTGCATAGCTATAAGAGGCATCTACTCCCCCCCTCCCCGCCTCGACGCCACCATCACCACCCCTCTGTCTCTTACAAATATCTCCGGGGCAACCAGATGGATGTGAGCGCTTAAAAGAGCTCGCCATCCCTCTTCCTCATTTCACTGAGGTCAGTGTCAACATCAAGAACATGGAGACTAATGCACGGCTTACAGGAGACATGCAGATTAAATGCAGGAAAAACTGGAAGTGGGGTGTTTGTTTACTGCCTGAATCGTGTGTAAAATGGTGACAAATAAACAATCATGTTCATGCATTTTCACAAATTGCCTAAAGAGAGAGGAGGGGGGTGATAGTGAGTCCAACCCCCCCTTTTTTTCTCTTTTTTTTTTTTTTCTGGTGCAAAAAAAAAAAAAATGTGTATTTAAGGTTTCCGCTCTAAACGCAGATTATTTTGCTCTTCTCAAGCGGGATGCACTGAGCAGGATTCCCTTCTCTCTCCGTTGCCTCTGTTAAATGATTTTTTTTTTTTTCGAAAAAAAAAAAAAAAAAAGGCCACCAAAAACAAATGTAAATCCATTTCCTTACCTTGTTGATGTCCCCTTCCTGACATCACACATCATGCACTTAAAAGCCTCCGCCGTGTTCTTGTACGTGCACACGCTGCAGTCCCAAAACCCCTCGTCGGAGGAGGGCTTCAGTTGACGCTTCGGCCTTTAAATAAATAAATAAATAAATAAGACAATAAATGTCAAAACAAAACATTTTTCTGAAAAAAGCAGAAAATTATATTTTTTTAAAAAAAAAGGAGAGAGAAGGTAAAAGAGGAACGAGAGAGAGAGGAGGGGGGGAGTGAGTGCAGCTCTCGAATGCTATCGATAGCAAACATCTGGGTGAAGCCTACAGGATTTAGGAAATCATCTGCAAGCGCGCGCTGATCCGACACTGTAATTGGCGATGAGGTTTTAACACCAACGCGCGCGCACACACAAACCCCACTCTCGCACGCGCGCACACACACACATATATGTATACAGAGAGAGAGGAAGAGAGAGAGAGAGAGAGAGGGTGAGGGAGAGAGAGAGGGAGAGACCGTGGAGAATTTTTTTTTTCTCTCCCCCCGCCGAGCGCTCGCCGATGTCCGCTCCCCTCCTCCTCCTCCTCCTCCTCCTTCTCCTTTTTCTTCCCCCCTTTAAAAGCGTGAATATCCCGGACGAACACGCGGCCCTTACCTTGTGGGACTCCTCTTGTCGCCCATGCCAGACCGGGGTTTATCTGGAGGTGCTGCGACGAGCAGAAGTCTGGCTATTTTCAAATAATTTCAGCAGAGACGCGATGCGCCTGTGCCGCTCGGCTTCCAGCTGTCGTGGAAACTCCGCTTGGGAGATGGTCACGTGGCTCGGCGGCGGCCAATCAGAGGCCGGGTTACTTCCCGAGGCTGACATTCCTCTTGATGAATCAATGCCGCCTTCACGGAACCTCCGTAAACTTCGAGGTTTTGTGCTTTAATGGTGCTAAACGTCCACATTATTCGGTTATCGTGACAAACGTGTCAAGGTAGAGCGCAGGTCTTCTCCTAAATCAGTCAATCAATCGATCAGACATTATTGATGCCGTACTTTACAACCCAACCCACACCCAACATCATGTTGTAAATAAAGGACTTACAAATAATAATAATAAAAAAATCTATGGATGGACAGATGACAGCACAGAAGTAAAATAAATAAAAAAATAAATTAAAAAATCACCAAAAAAAAAACAAAAAAAGAGAGAAAATAAAACTAATTCTAGTAATGAAGTAATAAATGGTATTCTGAATACACTAAAATACCTAAATAAGTGAATAAATAGAGATTTCAATAAAAAACACACTTTCTTCTAAAAAAAATAATGATAAATAAATAAATAAATAAAATAAATGAAAACTCTGACCAATAACTCAGTAATTCAAACAGTTATTATTATTATTATTATTATTATTATTATTATTATCATCATCATTATTATTATTATTATTATTCAATGACATGAGAATATTTAAGAACAGGACAAATAGTAGAATAATATTTAACAAAAATTGTAGAAGATTATAAAATATTACACATGGCACTGAAATATACTAAAAAAAATATTGCACATTATATTAACATGTTGTGCATTAAAGTGAAATATTGCACATGATACTGAACCTGAAACTGCACAAACGTTTAGAAAAAGTAACATTGCAAATTATATCGATATTATAGCTGAAATGTTTAACTGTCATGTCTCTAGAAGAAGGAGGCGTTAAACAGTTAGTACAAAGTGTGTTATTGCACTTGAAGTGATATAAGGGGAAAAACTGTGATGACAAAGCTTTTCAAAAACTGGGGAAAAAAACCGACCTTAACTTGTATTAATAAGTCCTTTCAATGCATCATCTCATGCAATGAATGGACAGAAATTTATTTATTTGTTGTTGTTTTTTTTCTGCAGCAGCAGTCATACATTTTGGTTATAGACTGTATTTGAAATTTCCCACGGCACCTGAATGCATCAAAATGCACAGTAACTAATGTTCTGCGTCTCCAGCAATGTGTGCTGCCGCTCAAATCAGATCACTGTGCCGCGAATCCTTTCAAATCCCCGCATCTTTCACATTTTCCGCGCAGACTGCAGAAATCCCAGAGCAGTTTATGTCACGGGCGCATTAAACATCGGGGAAATCCCTGCCTTTATTTGCGTGCTGACGCAAGCGGGCATCAAAAAAACCACATTTCCAAGCGAGCAGACGAGGCAGCCAGGGGTTCCCGCACCTTTTATATCAAGGACAACCACACTGGATCTCTCCATTAGCTCCAGTGGAAGAGATTTTACTGCAGAGGGGAAACCCAATTGCTGCATTTGAGCTCTTAAAATGTGCACAAATGGTTTAAATTCGCATTGTTTATTCCTTTTCATTGGAATCATGTAAAGAAGAGGAAAAACCTTTTTCTTGATGTGAAAATTTGAATGAAATCTTAATTATTTTTCCAATGTGTATTTTTTCACTGCTCGAACACAATGCAAAACCTTGAGCTCAACTATGTCACCATCTTTGACATTTTACTGACAAAATATTTTTCAAAATCTTACAGTATTGAGCGAATCAAAGCAGTAAATAACCATTTTAACCAGATTTTGCAGTAACCACTCAAGAGCTGGTTTGTTATTAGGAAATATTTTATTGACTGACATAAAAAAAGAAACACAACACACACACATTCAATCTATTATCCATCCATTAGCTGTACCTGCTGCATCCATGCAGGGTTGCGGAGGGTTCAGGGCCTATTGCAGCTGCTACTGGGTGGAAGGTGGGGAAAGATAAGAAATCGGATAACCTCGCACGTTTGTGGTCAATTCTGAAGCTCCGATGGATGACTCTGTTTTGGTCTGGCCAGCTCTCTGGAGTGTGGAACATGAAAACTCCACACACTGTTGTCCACAATCACCATACTGATTTGTAGAAGCATAAAAACCCCCACTTAAGAACCTCATACATATAACTGAAATAATTTCATCTCTGAAGTCCGTGTGCAATTTTAGTCACTGAGCTCCTCTTCATCACTGAAGTATGCGCTCTTTTTGATCCTCGGTTTCCTGGAGTCTGCCGACGTTGAGGCGTGAGCGTTGTCCTCTTGAGATAAAGCCGCCTGCCTCTTCTTTTTATGCTCCTCTTCCTCGATACGGGCTTGCTGAACGGACGAAAGACAAAAGGAACATGTCGGCGCTGACGGATTAAACATTAAATGAGCGAAGAATCTTCCAGTTTCCGCTGCCTCGACTTACTAAAACATTTACTTTATGTTTCATCTCTTCTCTCCTTGTTCTGAGTCAGTGTGTTGCATGGGAAAGGATGTTGCAAGTGATTTCAGGAAGATGTTCTTAAGTGTAATTTTGTGACTCATAATGCAACACTTTGAACTGGAAATCCCACTTATGACTACGGTATATTATATTTGTTGTCTCTCTGAGCTCTTACCTGAAAAGCTATGGCTTGGCTCAGACTGTCTAAGGCTGGATCTTCTCCTTCTTCCTCACTTTCTTCCTCCTCCTCCTCACTGAAAAATAAAAGATGTGCTATGACACCATTTCTGATACGATATCTCACAAAATCCGCCACAGAATACGTACACGTGCTCAGGTTGTTGACCCTTTTTCTTCTTTTTCTTTTCTTTCTTCTTCGGAGGTTCCCTCTCTCCCAGCATGTTTTTGGGGCATGCGTAGCTCAGGTGTCCGGTATCCTGAGATGTTTTATTTAAAAATTCAAACACAGAATAATGATTAAACTTGTACTTCAATAAACTTTGACTCTCACAGGACACAAACAAATACGCACTGACCCCGCATTCGTAGCATTTAGACTTGTCTGTGTAATTCCGCCTCCTTATGAACTCGGCTGCTCGTCCGTTGTCTATGGCGATGCTGGCTTTCACTGTCCTGCCAAACAACTGGGACACAAGCACATGTCATATTAAAAGCACTTCATTTCATATGCTTGGTGACATTCACGGTGCAAGAAAACAAATCATCACACCTGTTTGTTGTTTATTGCTCTTGCACAGTTATGAGCTGACTCTCTGTCCAGGAAGAGAACGAACGCCACCCCTTTACTCTGGCGAGTGTCTTTATCCTTTACAATTGTAACCCTGAAATAAACATGATGGTTATTAACAAGTGTATATAGAGGAAGCATTACATTATTATTCGCCTTTATTCAGAGCTTTTCAGTGACTCCTGTGGGCTGTGACACCCTGACTACTTAGCTGCATTGCTTTGAGATAAATATAATAATAAAAAACTATAGTGTAAGAGCGATTATTTTCTCGATTAATCAATTCGTTTCCTTTACAAAATGGTGGAAAATGTCCATCATGACATCCTCAAATGTCTTGTTTTACTCACAAGCCAAAGATATTACATAAAGATGCAAAGACCACTGAAAATATTCATTTTTAAGAAGCTGGAATCAGAGAATTTAGACTTTTTTTTCCCCTTAAAAATGACTCAAACTGTGTAATAAATTTAACAGTTAAAATCTGATTGATTCATAATTAATCACTGCAGCTTTAGGCACACACACTACTTACTTTACGACTTTTCCATATTTGGTGAAGAGCTGAAATGGCACAAAGTGTTTCAGTAAGAGAGTGGCTTGGATCCGAAACACATTGTAGAAATTGACTCTTTTTCTACATTTTAGTTGAACAAAAGCATATCACACACATTTTCATAACATTAACCAACGTGTATGATCGATTATAGGTAATAAATTACCTTATGCAGGTCGTTGTTGGTCAGAGAGAACGGCAGGTTCGACACGTATACGGTGCTTTTGCTTGGTGCCAAACCCCCGCTCATAGTGAATACATAGGAGAGCCTGTTACATAAAATAAGACGCCCACATGAGCACACTTCTTTGTTTCCTGTTCAGTTGCCACCATTCAGAGTACTATTGCCACCAACCAGATCATAGTTGTTAAATACTTGCTGTTAAGCCTGTGTTTTGTAGATAAGTTCTAACATAACTAAAAAGTCTCCAGAGTCATATTTGTCATACTTTCCAACTTCTTGTTGAATCCGATGTAAATGCCTTCCTCTATTACCACTGTCCCATAGCCTTTGACACTGAACCTTAATTCTGCTCCATATTAAAGCTTTTGCAGCTATCTTGCTTATTGCTGCTATAGCTTCTCTTTGGTTTCTGTCTAATTCATTTCTGGCATTCACAAAATCCCCAATGTCAAAATGTGCTGGTACCCATAATGACTGTACATCAGTTTCTATTCTCGTAAGTCTAATACAACATTGCACAATGAAGCTAAAGATCTATTCTCTCACACTCTGCCTCTATCCTCTCTTTGAATAAGGGCTAGTCCCACTGCACTATTCTCTCCGTCACGTCAGTTTTCACACCACGTCAAAATCACGTCACTCTCAACATCACTTTTCTCCAATTATCTGTCTGCCCACACTCTGGGAGCCAATCAGTCAGCAGACCCAGTTCTTTAAATTTATTGCAATCCTGTCACTCTCCACTGAACGCAAACCCCTCTTCCTCCACCTCATCCAGATGTCCATCCAGTCTCCATCAGACATCTGCCAGTTTGGCTCTACCACTACCAGCATCACCTGTTCTCATTTGGGACCCTGCCTTATGATACCTCTCCTCTCAAAAGCCCAACCACCAAAATACATTTGTTACAGCATGTCCATATTGCCACAATACACTTTTCTTCTTTACTTTCATATGATCTTTTCTTACTGAAATGCCATAAATAACATTCTGTCTGCCTCAAGAGGCATGCTTCAGAATCGTCAAAGCTGCATTCAGTTTGAGCAGTAGATTTTCCCTCCTTTACTCATTGCAAGGCTGACAAGAATGCCATTTAACTGCATAGACAGATTTCTGACCTGCTTGTTCATGATGATTTGTAACTCTGGGACATAAAATGTAATATTTATTCATATTGTCCATATCTCTGTGTTCACATAAGCCTGTAAATTGAATAAACACGATCTAACATTGAGGAAACATTAAATGGTGAAGGCAGCAGCCACAGTGGAACAGCTGGCAATAAAACTAACAGACCAATCACTCATTTACATCCAATTGGGATTTAACCCAAATGTTCACAAACCACAGCTACGTAGCTAGCTTGATAACTCTTCTATAACTGTACCTTTACACATTTTAACATTACTTCAGGCAGCAAATACATTCACGAAATGACTCACCAGCACGGCTCCCACCGATACAATAGCACTGAAATTTATTGAAAGTGCCAGAACTTAGTGTAAACGTATTTGCAACTAATATTTAGCAACAACAGAAACAAGCGCCATGTCTGTGCGTCGCACACTGATGACGTAAGCGCGCCTGCCGTAAATACACTAGCGGTTGTCCACAAAGCTACCGGGAAAGGCTAAGCTAACTAAACCACAGATAAGGGTGAGATTGTTTTATTATTTTGCATGTAAATTAACGGCATTCAGTGCTGTTTCGCATGCCTGTGACTATAAGAGGCTATAAGCCGCCGTCTCCGTTCTTAGTATTTTTTTTGGCCCCTGTGACGATAAGCTAACTTGCCTTCAGATTAAATAAAACGTGAGGCTATTTGCTTCATAAATGGAGGCTAGGTAATTAGCCCTGCTAGCAGTCAGTTCTACATGGACCTACTTTGGTTAGTAGTAAATTTACCATCCCGGGAAATGTTGTAATGCTTCGTTACTGTAACGGGTGGGTGGTATCCAGCGTGTGCTGTGTTGAATAAGGTGTTGCTGGCCAGTTGTAGTCCCTCGTAACGTGAGGTCAGCATAGTCTGCATAAAGTACTTTGAGCTGGTGTTGCGCCCAAAAGTGATGCCAACAACTGGGAGCAGTAACCCCTCTGTCTCTGCATTGTTTTATCTGCTCTGTGCTCAAGGTAATAACCAAATCCAGTTGATTTTACCCCTTGAAAAAGCTTTAAATAACCAATTTAGCTCATTTCATGCATTTTCCACTTGTCAAAATGTGATTGCAGCCCCTACACTGAGACTGAAATTTTATTAAGGCACCAAAATGTATGATTTCATTCATGAGGGTTACATGTGACAGACTATAACCCGTAGGATAAATACAAAAGATATCATTCATTTTATTTTAGATATAAAAACCCATCTGTCAAATATAAACAGGAATATATCAAACACATGCAGCCTAAGCTTCCGCCTGTATTCATAAATGTCCTGTCTTATTAAACTGTGTACTACAAACATAGTTTCGATGACAAATGTTGAGTCACAAGGAACTTTACAGTTTCACAAAGTACAAGGCTTTACTGTCGCTACAAATAAACAGTTATGTGTATTTGCATTTTATGACTGTGTGATCAGATAAAAGCAGATGGAGATATGTATAAACTGGATGATGATCAGTTTTTGCCGTAATACCTGTTTGCTCGGTGACTGGATCAAACTTTAAATGCTGCACGTTGTCTTATTTCATACTTTGTTGCACTTGTTGCAAGTAGAGGAATTCTTCACATGATTGTTTTTTTCTTTTTGCAAGCTTAATTCCAAATGCTATTCTCAACACAGTTGCTTGAAAACATGTGCGATGAGTCTTACTGCTTCATTACAAATCTCTTTATAGATTGTTTTGAAGATTCGCAGAAGTCCTTGGAACCATAAGTAAGTCATCAACCAATGCTTCTTCATTGTACAATGATTCAACACTCGTTTAGGGATGTCTGACGCAAACAAATCAGGAATTTCAGGGACAGACTTGATAGCTTGTAAAAAAAAAAATATTCTTACAAAAGTAGCATTTGTGTTGCAGCCTGGACCTGACTGAGACCGAAATGAAATAACTTTACATGAGACATCACAAAAGTGTCTGGTTTCATTGTGGTCATCAAGTTAAATGTAGATTATATTTTATTTTGTTTTGTCAGATGTGGTTTTATTTTTTTGTATGTGTTTTACTGGAATATTGCTGTTTCAAGAAATGAGCAGAGCTTGACTTAAACAAAGACGTTGCATGTGACTGCAGAAACACAGAATTATTTGTTTTGTGGAGCCACCTTTACCTCTACAGTCCAAACAGTGTTTTTCACTCTTTGCAGTGACATACAGAAGAGACCGAAGTATACGAGAGGTGTATGAGGAACGTTTTCTGCCAGACAGACCCGTGAGTTTGCACAAAGTATATTCAGTCCACTTTCTCCTCTTTATATCACTTCTGACGTTGTTGCATTTCCTTCCATAGTATGCAAAAATCAAATGCAAATAGACTATATTTTATCCAAGCAGCCTTTTGATTTTCTCTCTCTGCAAAAATTAGTTGGCAAAGAATGATTTGGAGTGAGAATTATACAATAACACACACAATCTTGTGAGTGTTTTATTTCCAACCTCAGCTGTTGTCTTCTTGAGCCAGCAGGCTGTCTTAAGCTATGAGTCATTTCTGCAAATGGACATCCTTAATGTAAAACCTTACAACAACAAAAAAAATCACAAGAATATTGACACAATACATTCAACTTAAAATATTAAATCACGATATGTACCAATGTGAACAGGGTCCGTACCCGCGGGCAGGTGGAGGTGTAGAGAGGAGAGGCCCCTTTGGCAGGCCAGAGGACGACTACAGCCGCGGCGGGTACGAATACGAAGGAGGTCCGCGCTTTTACCCGAACGGAGGCGGCCCTCGAGGTTACCATGAAGACCAGAGGGGCTACCATGGCGATGGCCATCATTTCCCCGGTGAACGCAGAGGCATTCCCCCTTCAAGGAGGGTGAGAGTCGTAATGAATTTTGCTGCAGAACTTACTGCAATCATATCAATGAACTGGATTTATAGGGTAAAATATGTGCTTTGAAAGCTTCTACAATATTATTGTATAATTTTCAAAGACTGCCTCAGCAATGAAAAGTCTGAATGAAGTGGGAGGGGAAACTGCAGCAAAGTGGCTTTAAAATTAAAGGAGATGCTCTTTGATTATCGTCCAAAAAATGAGTTTTGAAAGTTGTTTCTGCACCTTGAAATAAATTTAGTCAAGTCAGCTTTATTGTCAGTTTTGCCATATGCACAACATACAGAGAACTGAAATTGCCATACTCCGAGGCTCCGCGGTGCAAAATGAACATAGAAAAAAAAGTCTAAAGATAGCAAAAAAGGAATAGATAGAATATAGCTATAAACAGCAGGACAACAGGATTTAAATATGCACATGTCATGAGCTATCTGAGAGCTTTATGGTTGAAGGGTCAAGGTAAAATATTTTGAATGCACACAGTATGAACCACATTGTAGCCAATCATTATGGTAAATTAAATGTTTCTTGGTCTTTGACATTCCACCAATATGGAATTTCTTACCCATTTGTTTTTCTTTTTTAATGTTTAATGTTTGTCTTTATATTTTATTCCTTGTGACATCGTGTTCTAAAGTTTCATTCATATTTTAGATTTTCAGTTTGTTTGACTTTCTTCATTCATCATGTGGGATGATAATGCAAAATCTGTAGCCTTTTAATTCATTCATTCATGTAATATGGAAGTTAAACACACAGAGTATTTACATCTGCATCCCAAGAGTCTGTATTTTAGATTTTAAGAAAATGCATTGAGAAGAAGAGACTTTCATGGGTTTTCTCTTCTGTCCATTTTCTTCATTGTGTAGGAGGACTATCCTTACAGAGTACCCAGGGAAGACCCACACCAAGGGCGGCCTATGGAATTTGGGTAAACTGCTTCTGTTTGTATGAGAAAAAAAAAAGAATCAAGTATTCTTTTTTCAGAAAGCAATTCTGGTCTATCAGGTTCTATTTCATACACTCATAACGTCGGGTGTTTTCATTTTGGACAGCAGGGGACAGTCTTTTTCTTTGCACTTCTGTTTTGAACAAGTCCTCTGTCTGTGATTCCTCTGGTCGGGCCGAGGGAAGGACTCTGCAGGAGTCGGCCTCCTTCCTCAGTATGTGCTTGTGATGCTTGTTTGCATAGCAGCAATCATAAATCATGGTCTGTTTCTGACCCATACTGGCCTGTCTCACCTTATTCACATTTCTTGAAGTCCCTGCTGGGCTCCACGCTCTTAGTTTAGCCAGCTAGCAATGTCAGCTCACAGTGTCTGTGTTTGGGCTCAGATTGGGTTGCAGAAATGTAGGTTTAAGTCAGGTTTACAGGTTGTATCCTCTTGAACTGCTCAGCTTTGAAGTGAGTGTATATTACTTGGTTGCTTGATGACTTTTGACTTTGCAGTTAGAAGGATTAAACATTAACACGCTGAGATGAAGTAAAACAAGTGTGTAAACTACTGAAGGATTTTAATTTTACTTTCTTTGAATATCCTTTAGAACTGAAAACTGGTACTAAACCAGTAGTTACCGTGTTATAATAGTGCTGTTTATACCGTAGTAAAATTCTAAAACAAGGTCAGACATGAATTATACTCATTGGATTCACCACTGAGCGGGCAAACAGGAACACTGATTTCAAACAAACATTTCAGATTGCGAAAGGGCAATGAAGTCAGTTGTGGACTGTTTATAATTGGGTTTAGCGTGGGCCGAGGTCAGTGGGGAGTTGTGGAAAAAGGCAGAGGGATTGTGTTTTTAGAGTTCTCAAAGTCTTTGTTTGTACGACACATTTCATACATGAGGCAATTTGAAGCATAAAAAAACACAGTAAGGAACACATTTACATTTTTAAATAAACTACATAATGTACCATTTGAAATTCTCCATTTAAAAGTGCAGACATGAGATGCATGAATCTGAAATTGAGTGAAAGTTACTTTGCAGTCATGAGGTGTTTATTTTTCCATTTTTGAAGGTTTTGTTATTTGAAAGCTGTTTATCACCAATTTACCATTTTAATATTAACCTCTGACTGTCAGCACTTTAATACAAGGGTTTTAAATACACATTTAGACCTTCTGGATAATCTGTTGGAGTCTGTTTGTGGTAGCATTTTACAGAAAAGCAGTGTCTCTTATTTGTGTTCTCATATTAACATAAAAGCCATTTCAAAAGATGCTCTTTATCTTAGCCTGAAGTGTTCTCCTCATTCAGCCTGGAAAAATGTGTTTAAAGGTTAAAATCATCTGGCTGTTGACTCAGTTCCACCTCGTGTAAAGTCTCCACCTGAACTACTTCTGCTTCCGTCTAAATGTCAGCATGTATCTGCAACCACCAATTTGTGTGTTTCTGTCCCCTTAGTGCTCGTGCGCCACCTCCTCACAACGTCCGAGGCCAGGGCATTTATCCGGCACCCAGATCGCTCCCGGAGGGCGGAGAAGACACATTAGTTCAGGCCATCCTAAACCTGGACAGAGGGTACGAGTGAATACATCCTTAACCGCTACTCACTGCATCCATTTGCCGTCGTTTTCTAAGAATATGCAGCTTATTCATCACAGACAGACAAAGCTGTAGTCAAACAAAGTGATTCGCAAAAAGCTAGTCGTGTAGTTTTTAGTTAGAATGAACATCTGCTGATGTTTAGTTCTAAGCACATATAGGAGGAGCAGCAGTATTCATACATTCATCCAATTCAAATGGTGCCTCTGTTTAAACAGCACAGCCTGTGTAATTAGTTTCAGGTTGCACATTCACTGTAATGACCGGAGGATGCTAGATGGCAGCATTGTGCTCCACATAAATCGACAAGCGAGAAGCTTTTTAGAGAGCAGTAGAGATGAACTAATCTGACAGCCACACAACAGTTTAAACCATTCATACATGACACCCACCCCCTCTCTGTTCCAGGGAGGACAGAGACCACTACAGGAGGAAGACCGGTCCGTTCCCTCTCCTCAGAGAACGCTCCCCTGTTCGCCGGGACGTGGCTCGTTCTCCTCACAGTCGCTCCGGTTCTAGCGTGAGCAGCAGAGGCTACTCGCCAGACAGAGCCAAGAACCTGCCTTTTCCCGCACAGCAAGGCAAGAGTATGTAGAAATCCTAGTTTCCCCCTCCCCTGATGCACTGTGCACTTCTTCAGACTGGAAACTTTACCTTGATTGGCCATTTCTTCTTTTTCTCTGAAAGTGATTGGAGCAAATCAGTCCTTTAAAGATTTGTAGATTGTTACAATTAACAGAAAACTAGTTGCGTAATGTTTTAATTCTGAATTGATGTTTAATTCATTCACTAAACATCACTGTTCAGCTTTAACATGTTAATGTGAGGACTGTAAATGGGTTTTTTGGAATGGTAGTTGGACAACAAACACCATTACTCCAAGAGACATTTTTCCCCTTTTTTCAGGGAAGAAAAAGATTAACTGAGTGGAAATAAGTGTCACAACAGACCTACAACGAGGTGAAGCAAGTCTGATGTCCAATATAAAATAGAATGAGGGATTATTTCTGGTCTTGATGCGAGAACCTCTAATAAATTGCAGTAGGGAGGGATGAAACTCGTTTTGCAGTAATGACGCACAACATTCACAGCGACTGCCTCCGGTTGCAAATTTTAGACATGACTCACTCATTTGTTGCCTTAAACTCACAAAGAGGGCTTACACCCACCGAGTGAGGCATCAGTCATACGAACAGCAGCTCTTCATACAAAGCACAGAATAAATTTGACAAAGAAAGCATTTGACTCAACCAAAGTTCAGTTTGAGTTCAATCCCAGAAATGTGTATTGATTATTTTGAATCTTTTATTTTTCTACCTTTGTTTAGTATCTTATACAGTCGGTCCATGACTGATAATCTGGCTTTTCAGGTGCGGACGGTCCAGAGGGTCACGCAGGTGTTTCTGAGCACCCCTGGGGGGCGCTCTATCCTCAGCAGAGTGGACATGACACTATGGGTCTGTACATTGAGCCAACAAGCTCAGACTTGGGTGACAATACGCTGATTTGTTGTTCCTCACTTGCATCCTTGTCATGTCAGAAAAGTGTCATAAGAAGGAAGTAAGGCTGGAGGACACAATGAGCAAAAGGACTTTAGGTTTTAAAAGCCCTCTGAACCTCAAACTGTTGCATTTTTACTCGCCAACGACTCATTTTTCACTGCAATATTAAATCCTGCACCTCTTTGGAAAGAACACAACCATGGCCAGAAGTAGAGAGAGCTCAAAAATGTTTTTAGATATTTCATTTCTCGCATTGTTTTTTTTTGTTTCCATACTTGTCTCTTTTCTGCTCTGTGTAAACACAGCCTGCAGTTCAGCTGTAAAGTCCCTGAATCTTAGTCACCTGACTGCTGATCACAGCAGAGTCACTAATGACTTATCAGTTGCATCAAGGGGTGCATGATTTTCTTTTCTTTCTTTTTTTTTTTTTAAACATTTTTTTTATCTGGTTAGAAGAGCTGGTTTACTATGGGAAGTTGTCACATGTACAGTAAGAGGATGTTGATAAAATATCACGAGTTAAAGCATTGATTTGGTTAAGTTCATCACGTCACCAATGAGTAGTTCAAGGACTGTTGGAAAGTTGAAAATCCAATGGTTTTTACAGATTCTGGCTTGGACAAATGGTGTCATTTTGTAAAAAGCTGCTTGCCTTTCAAACCCACCAGCAGGTTCTGGGATTCAGAGGGTTAAATCAAACCTAAGATTCAACCTACTTTTCACAGAAAGCAATTTTAAAACAAATCCACGCAATATAAACTCTAAAGTCCTTTTGAACAGTGATGTTTTCACCCAAGTCTAGAGTGAATTACATTATGATTTATTTTTTTGCTAATTAGAACCTAGTGGGATTTCCTATTTGCCATTTCCACTACCTGCTGCTAAGATACATTAGCACTTTCCTCGGTTCCTCCACTGATCTGTAGACGTTTGATGTTTGATTTTCTCAGTCTGTAGAGCATGTTAAAATGTGCTAAAAACCTGTTGTACATATTCAATGAGCACACATATTGTTCTCATTTCAGGTGGGATCTTAATGTGCATCCCACTGACTTCTAACTGTTTTTTAAAATACAGTTTGTCACGTGTGGAATTTACACTTTTGACATGGATCATGTGTCACAACAGGGAATTTTTACAATCCATATCAAAAGATGTATAATAATATATTGCTGGATGCTAAGTTTACAAAACTAATCTCTCCCAGAAGGCCAACAACAGTTCTTGAATTAACCGAACTGTAAAAATCACAAGTGCTAAAGTATCTCTCTGTTTACTGCATGTTGTTCTGTAGACTTTTTATCTCTAGCTCTTCCATTTCCCTGTTTCCTCTCCAAGTTTTTACCATTTTTTTGAGGCCTGCTGCTGCCTCACTGATGCTCATTTCTCCTTTAAATGTCCATTTTAACTGGTGCTTTTCCCTCCTGAAGTGACTTCTGAGTGTGTATCAGAACAGCAAGTGGCCGTTCTACTTGGTACTCGTGTTGGTCATGTTGTCATGCATGGGTTTAGCTTCTTCAAAGCAGAATGATTACAGTAGTTATTTATTAGTGAGGCAATAGGGCAGTGAGTGTGCTTGCGAGATTGCTGTCAGATAAGAGACCCTAGTTATGGTGATGTGCACAGCCAGTGACCCTTCGGTTTGGTCTTCCTACAGGGTATGAAGAGACTTATTCTCAGAGCAACATGGCTGGTAAGTACAGCTCAGTATAGTTATTGCAAACAGAACAGAAAAGTTACACTAGACTGGCAGCGTTTTTGGGTTTTTTTGTATTTAAACCCTGTTTGCTGAGGAAATCGACAGCTTCAGCAGGACTCCTAGTGCATGGTATAGTCTCTGTAACGTGCCTTGCAATAAGATTTTCCAGTGCAAATTAATAAGAAGCAAGATGAGGTGACATGCAGCGGATTTGTTTCAGAAATATGAAAAGGTTACAATCGTTAAACGTAACCTCTCTCCCAGCCCGGGTAACCCGAGAGAGACAGGGAGCGTTTCTAATGTGTCCAGCAGCCAACCTTCCTCCCCGTTCCGTCTGCCACTTTGTCAGGCCTCATAAAGATGCCACCAAGTCGTGTGTGGAAGTAGAGGGAAAGGGTATAGGATGTCTGATGGATATTCCTGAAGCCAAAGCTTCCACTCTGGAGTGTTTTTGTTTCATTTCGAGGTGCCCAGAGTTCACGTTTGTTGGTAGAGTTGATTACAAAGCCTTGGACGGTGCTTTTAACCTGTGGCAGGGCTGCTAGAAAAACAGTGGAAAAGTGAGCGACTGGAGAGGAGACGGTGTCCGCAGCGAACGAGTTACACCGAATTCATTCGCTGGAGTTTGGAGTACAATTATGAACCATCTGTTTCTTGATCGTTCCAGATGTTCTAGCTTAGGTACCTGTGCGGATCCTGGAACCAAACATCAGCAACTTTGCCTACCTTAAGCACACACATGCTTACTTTCCAGACCTACTAATTTCCCCTTCTTTCCTGTTTAGCATTTTCTTGATTCAAATCTTTTTTTTTCTCATAATATTTTGCCCCAAACTTACGTCTCACTCTGTCAATTTCTTGTCTCTTTTTTTTTTAAATTCTGTAGACAAAATTCCCGGCCTGTCAAGAGAAGGCTCCCCACACAGTGCAACATCAGCCAAGGTGAGCTCAAGAGAAAATTAAATATCTTCATAATAACAAGCTCCACACAGCAAGACGTGTGAATTTTTTATAATAAATCTGACTTTAAGTTTACTTTAAGTGCTGAGTTTTGTGCAAATGTTATTAATATAGCAGCACAGTCCCGGATGTGCTGTGAATTATTTTCCTGTTTATTGTATACCATGAGGTCTGGCTGTGTCACTGTATAGCAGGATGCATCTGGAACTTCTTAAATTCTGTCCTTCTAATATGTGTTTAGTACCATTGAAGTATGTTAATGGGTTCTAAAGTGGTCCTCATGCAGAGCATAAAAGCCATCAGGCCTGTGCTGTGTTTACCTGCGGTGTAAGCAGACTTCAGTCACAGGAGCTTGTAATGGCCTAGAGAATAGGGCTCAAGTGTCGTCAGTGTTTTTAAAAAAATACTTTTACTATTGCATGTAGATATCTCCTGACTGCTCGGCAAATAATAGTTTGTGTTGCTGATATCATCCATCTCCAACTATGCAGAGGAGTGTAAATAGAATCAGATGTGATTAGTCGCAGTGCGTCTGGCTGCGGCCACCCAGAAGTGAAGAGGCTAAGTCAGTAGCCCAAGTCACAACTTTATCACAGGATCTGTACCGCGAAGCCAGGAGAAGTCCCCGTGGACCTCGCTGGGATGTGTTTACAATGAACAATCGCTTCCCTTTTTTTTTTTTTTGCTGTAGAGGAGTATGTCTGACTGCGTTTGGGAGCTGCGAGTGTCTGGGACACGTCGCCGGTCAGCGGTCTTGTGATTGCCCGCGAGTCCAATGTTGCGCATTGATTTCTCACAAAGTCTCGACGTGACTGTCAAGAGTCATCGTGTCTCGCATCGTGCATTCACGTCATACGTGACGGATGGTGAAATACAAAGTGAAGTCACTGCATTTTTGGTCAAAATTGAGTTAAGACTGGAATCTGTCTTTCTTTTTTTTTTAATATATGTTTTTTGTAGCTGAAGTCTGGCTGGATTTCTAGAAGCTGACATTGCACACTGTGTCACTAAATAACAACAGACAAGAGAGCTACACTGCACACATTCACACATGGCAAGAGAAAGATGGTGAAATGTCATGACTAGCTTTAGCTAAACCTATGAGGTTTTTAATTTTCCCTGGCTGCTGCTTGTTTTTTTGTTTTTTTAACTGATATTTTGATGAACTAAACACATAACTAAATGAGGCATCAGCTACATCCAGTCATGATGCAGGAACAACAGTTGCCCCTCGATGAAGCCAGTGAGCTTTGCTGACTGCCAGTATTTGCAATGCTGGCTTGTTGTTGTTGTGGAATTCATGCAAGTTAGTTTAGGTATCTATAAATAACATACTATGAGTAAATCTGTCAAATTTAGAATAAATTCGTGGGTACTCATGAGGTTACATTTACCCTCTGAACCCCAAAACCCATCAGCAAGTTTGAAAGGCACGTAGTCTTTAAAAAATCCCCAAAATGACAACATTTATCAGAGTAAAACTGTAACAGCAGAGACTTTAAAACTGCTGGTTTGTCCAAAAAAAACCCAAAAACCTAAAGCTTTCGTTAAAATCCCTTTTTTAGGCATGTCTCATTAACAAATTAACCAAATGTGCTGACCAAATTCTGTCAAAAATATAAAATTCTCCCCAACTGAGAAGCCATTAGTAACTCCTGACTGTGACAAACAATGAGGTGAGGAAAGTTCAGAGAGCATTCGGTTGAACTGCAGGCTTTGTTTACACAGAGCAGATAGAAGACAAGTATGAAACAAAGTGAAATAACTCAGTAAGTATAGCATGTGGATCCCCATTTTTCTCCAGCATTTACAACACCTGTGGCTGTTTTTGTAAAATAAAGAAAGAAACTTTTAGGACTTACGCCAGCATGATTTTGGTAAACAGCGCACGAGGTCTTTTTGACTTTTTGCTACTTCTAGTCGTTTCCATAAAGCTGCAGGACTTTATATTGCAATGAAATTTGCCTTTAAACTTGGGGTCAGTAGCCAAGAGACCAAGCAATAACAGAGATACAGTGAATTTCTATGTATTGCAGATAATCAAAGTTTATTTAAAGCTTGCTCTTAAACAAACGAGGTCCACTCTGCTTCCTCTTGCACCCAGTGAAGATTATCATGAAAGCATGTACTATCAGCGCGGTGCGTTCTGCATGGTGTTTGTCAAGTTTTTTGCTCACTCTGAAACCCCCCTTTTTGTTCTCAACTACGCCTCTTTTGAAGTCACTGCTCTCTAAATGCCTATAGTGAAACTGAGAGTTACTGACACAGGACAGACAAACATTCATGACTCGTAACGTTTTTTTTTACAAGGTAGGCTTAAACTCACTTTGATCAAAAAAGCCTATTAAACTTAATCTTCAAATGCTGCGTTAATGTCAGCGGAGTTTTAGGGCCATGTTGTGGTTTCTCTCAACCACTTCTGACCGCCAAACGTTTCAGCATGATCTGAAAAGGTCCCGCTAGAAGGCAAAGTGAAAATCTGGCCTTTTGTAGTGAGGAGAGAGCTGAGATATTGTTTAACAAACAGGGATAACTGCACATTTTCAGGCAAACTCTCCCCGGAGGCCTCGATACTGATGCACTGGTGTGTGTGTGTGCACATAAAAAGTGCCACAAATAGCTGAGTCAGAAATGACAAAGGAGAAATTACAAGCTGCAGCATGTAAACATAGTTTTTTCCTCTTCGTCTAATGTGCATTTTTTTGGAAGAGACGCCCACCGCCACCCAATCAACCGCTGTGATGAAAGTTCTGCTAAGCGCCCCACCCCTCCGCTCGCACACACCGCCGCCGCCGCCGCTGCGTTTGATCTAGCCTGTGGTGCATTGTTGTTCTCCGTTCTCGGGGCACAAACCCATAACCTTGGCCAAGATGAAAGGCGCTACGCTGTGCCCCCCAGTAAAGCTTTGCGCTAATGGCCCCGGTCACTGCCCGCTGCGGGGATCCAACAAACTCACACGCAGGCTTTCTGGAGCCATCCCAGACACAAGAGACCAAAAAAAACGAGGGACCTAAAGAGCAGCTCCGGCTCTGGCGGCGAGCCAGGGTGGCCTGGTGGGTGGAGGGCAGGTTTCTGGAACAGAAAAGGTCACAGGAAGGTTTCATCTCTGCAGAACAAATTCTTGTCGGTTACAGTAAAACGTTTTATCAACCGAGATAACAGCAGAAGCGAACTGGGCCAAGTTATAAACCTGTTGTAGGAGGTCTTCCAGTCATTGTGATATTTTTAGCCATGCTGGCAATGTAGGGCGGTTGGTTCATCGTTCTACTTTAACTCAGCACCTACTGAATCGATTGACATGAAACAATCAAGTTTCATACATGATCAATGAATTTAGTGATCCCCTCATTTTTCCTCCAGCATTAGCGACAAGTTCACATTTTCATTTTTGTGTGAATTAGCTCAACATCTGCTCAGTGGATTGTTGTGACATTTTGTGCAAACTCACCCTAAAAACCGGTACAATGACCAGTCAGATGGAAATGTTCAGGATTTAATAGAAAGATTAATGAGATGAGTCAGTGGTTTTATTCATATATTGCTGTATGTTTTGAAAAAAGCAGTACTCATGTTATGAATATCATTAGTTTTAGAATTAATTTATTTATAATCTTAGCAACTGATTCCTCATTTATCTCATCAATGTGAAATAAACCTGTAGAAATGATTGCTTTGCCACGGTGTAGAACATTTGGCAGCTCAAAGTTTTTAGATAGTTTTTCCACTGACTCCACAAAGTATGAGTTAAATTCATTTGCCAAGGAGGAATTATTATTGATAGACTTGCCATTAATTATGAGTTCCTTTACCCCTTTCTGATTGCTTGTTCTGTTATTTAAGTGCTTGCATTATCCATCAATGTAGTAAGATACTTTAGGTTTGCGTAGTTCTTGTACCACTTTATTTCTTAAGCTTTTGTTCAATAAGTGATCAGGTTGAAGTTTCGAGGTTAATGATTTCTTTAAAGCAGCGTCTTCATCAGTGTTCTGATTCTCTGTTTGGTCGGTTACTCTTTTTTTTGTCTACATTTTATTTGCTTTTTCAATAGATTTTCTGATTGTTGCAGTTATAGAATCACAACAGTCATCCATAGCACATCCTGACATGGCGACTTTAGATTCTTTAAGTCATTTTCAAACTGTACGGTTTTAGATTTGGGAATAATGCATTTCATTTTCTCAACATCAGCACTTTTTTCAATCGCTTTTTAGTCAGTTTTCTAACTATAAGTAACAAGTTGGGGTCTGAAAGCCCGGTTACCAGATTATAGGTTTTTGTTATACGCTGTGGCTTATTAGTAAATGCCGTATCAGTAGGAGTTTGAGAGTGTTTGGTTAACCTGGTGGGTCTGATCACCTGGTGGTGGGTTTGATCATTTGTTGATAATTAACTTTACTCATGGTGGTTGGTTCATCATTCTGGTTTAATTCAGCACCTACTGAATTGATTGCCATGAAAAAATGTGCAAACATTCAACTTTGATACATGATCAAACCCAACAAATTTAGTGATCTACTATTTTTTTTCTCTAGCCACCTCCTTTACCAACAAGTTTTCATTTTTCTGTGAATTAGCTCAACATCTGCTCAATGGATTGTCGCGACATTTTGTGCAAACGTCTTCCAAGTTTTCCATTTGTGATTTCAAAGTCAAACATGAGCAGCTATTGAATAATTGCTATGAAATCTGGCACAGAAGCTCGTGTTTTCTCAGGATCCTTAGTGTAGTTACTAATTTTTCCCTTCAAAATGTACTTTGTCCACTACTTTGTGGCCAAAACTAATAGCATCAGCCTCAGCTGTACTTCTACTTTAGTTGCTAAGTCAGGTATTGGCATGCAAAGATGCTAAACTGAGAGGATGAAACATTAAATTCAGCATTATACCTACCAAGTACCAGCATGGAATCATCATTAGGAAACACCACAGTGCCGGTGTCTTGTATCGTTTAGTCTGGCCTCAGTTGAATATCATCGATTTATTGTATCTGTTGATTTCTCGTTTACACTTAATGTAGTGATCTCCTCCACATCCCAAAATATATTACAACACAGTAACAACGCGGATGTAGGCTGCAAGGTGGCTCGGTGGTTCGCACTGTTGCCTCGCAGCTAGAAGGTCACCGGTTTGCGTAAATAGATCTTTCTGCGTGGAGTTTGCATGTTCTCCCCGTGCAGCGTGGGTTCTCTCC